TAATTCTAGTCATTACTTGTTTTTTATATATTGATTTTCTTGTTTTCTTACTATCAGAAATACAAGAAAGGGAAAGGAAAAATTCTTGTATTTTCTAACCATCGCAAGAAAATAATTCTTCAGACAAGAAAATCAAGATTATTTAGCTTAATTTTCTAGAACATTCTAAGCAGAGAAAGACTTTCCTAGAAATTATGAGTGTGAGTCAGTGTGGCTGTAGCTGTCTGATGGAACAGACGTGTTCTCGCGTTCCCTGGTCCACAAGCCAACATTATGAAAATTTACCGGCGGGGAGTGTCGGGCGCAGTTGACTGGCGCGGAAGAACCTAGAAGCCCGGCCGTGCAGCACTCCAAGTACCGCGGGCATACCAAGAAACTTACGGTGGCTTCCAGGCTCGTCCAGATGTCAGGTAAGGTGAGAGCTTTATGATTTATGTTACATCGTATTTCCTAATGTTGTGTTACATTCATGTAGTATTATGATATACATGTAGAATGCTTTGGATGTACTACAGTAGCCATGCGTTTCTGGTTCGTAGTGTTCTGTGGTTCGTATTCTCCAGCTCTGTCTTGTAGAAATGACTTCTGCACCCCCTACATTTCTGTTGCCAAATAATCTAGATTTTTTTAGATCTATAATTAATAGTATAAACTTGTTTATTGTGGTTTTGATTGGGTCACCACGATATGTGAAAAAGAATCATGATCGACGAGTTTGCCATGTATCACAGTTTAGGACAATGTCGACAGTAATTTTCTCCATAATGCCAACGAGGAAGTTATTGTGATCTAGTTGGGAGATATGGGCCTGAAAGCAGAAGGATTCTTTTTGTCTTTGTTGAAAAAGTACAATTGAGATGCACAACAGTAAAAGGATGTCAAGAAATCTATTGGGATTTTCCACAATATTTGCCAACTTATTGCGCACTACTAGTGGCGCAGTAGTCTTTAAAAAATGGCTGTTTTTTTTTTAGCACGGTACATAGTTGAGTAAAGCGGTGAATCGTTCGAATTCGTTTTCTTTATGTTATAAGTGGAGCTGGTGACAATCTTCAAAGTTAACGTTGTTATGTGAAATATTTGTCGTCGTTATTTTGCTGATTGAACTGGTCTTTGGCCGTGTCTATGGCCGTGTCTATGTGGAATCACCCAAGGCGGTTTACATGTGGTTTACCCCGAGGCCGGTTTCAAGTGGCTCCATGTGAACGCTCCGAAATCACATTGAAAGCGCCTCGATCCCAAGCCACTTCTAGAGGTGGTTTCGAATCGGTTCCTCCGCATCGCGATTTGCGTCTGAACGCAATGTGATTTCAATGTGACTTCGCCTGGTCATGGATTACGGCGTGATATTTCTTTTTTTATATGCATACATAGACACGGCCTACATGTACGTGGAATCACCCAAACCGCGATTCGGGTAACTCACATTCCTCACATCTGGTCCACGTGCCACACACACCTGTGAAACCGTGTCCGAACACATTACGCTTGAGCTACATTTATTGCTGTTTGATGATAACACGCAAGGTGGCGTGTTATTAATGTCAGAGGTCAACGACCTGCTTGCTGATGCCACCCTCCCAGCGTATTTTGGCCGAATGCCGACGTGGTCCCGCCAGAGGCGGTGAAGCTCGCCCTAGAACGGACACATTATTTGACCATTACTGCTCGTATTTGACCATTATTTTACCATTGGCCGTTGCTGCCACGTAAAAGTTGGTATTGCATATAAATCAAGAAATATCACCCCGTAATACATGACCAGGTGAAGTCACACTGAAATCACATTGCGTTCAGACGCAAATCGCGATGCGGGGAAACCGATTCGAAACCACCTCTAGAAGCCACTTGAAACCGGCTTCGGGGTAAACCACATGTAAACCGCCTTGGGTGATTCCACATAGACACGGCCTTTGTTTATCATCCACCACCAATGATGTACACCGAGTTACAACTTACAGTAGCGGAGTTTTACTAGTAAGTTGTTCGTTGGTTGGTCACAATAAAGTTACCTGATGTCATTAATTCGCCGACAATCTTTCACTTCTTTATTTGTGTTTCAAATATTATTGTTGTGATTGAAGTTGGCGATACTTGCAAACTTGCATCTGTTTTCTACAGTGAGATATTCTCAAGTATTACATATATATATTGTAGATAATGACTTGCTTTTACCTTGTTACAAACGTTGGAAATTTGACTAATGATTCAGTGTTTTCAGTCAAAGACATTATACATCATTTTCAATATGGTGACCTACTTTCGCCTGTTGCTAATGACCTGGGCCGGCTGACAGTACTCCTAGCAAGTGTTACTAAATTCAGATTTTAAACACTCTTTAAGGTTACGTTTTTCTATTAGTATGGTCATATGGTGAAACATTA